TCAATTTGGTTTTTGTTGTGTTTTTGTTTCTCTGTCTAATCTTCTCTGTTCTCTCTTTGCCGGGACTACATCGTTGGAGATGGTGAACTTGGAGGCGGCTGGCTCTTCATCGTGGATTGGAACAGCATTCCAACAACGCTAGAATGGAAGTTTTTCTTTGTATTTCTTTGATGTTAGGTTTCTTTGTTATTTTAGTTAATATTTATTGTTTTTTATTTTGTTTAGTTTGTTAGTTTTTGTTGTTATTTGTTTATTAGGTTGTTATTATTGTTATTTGCTTATTAGGTTGTTATAATAATTTTTTGTTTATGAGGGTTGTAAAAGTTGTTAATTTTCATGTTTTATTTGTTACATTATGTTTTTAATGGTTTTTTATTAGTGTTGTTAAATGTATGTTGTTTTTTATTGTTATGAGTCATAATATGTTATCGTTATGATTGATAGATATTTGTATCTATGAGTATATCAGTTATTGGCTATTGTTTTGAATATTGTTCTTTGTTATTGGTATGAGGATCAGTCCTTTGTTATATCTACATGGGAGGATATTATTTATTTATAATGTTATATAGTTATGAGTTTTAGTTATTTGTATGAATTTTTATTAGTTGTTATTGTTATGAGTTTCAGTTATTTGTTATTGTGACAGTTATGAGTATTTGTTGTTATTTGTTTTAGGTAGTTGTTATTGTTATGAGTTTTATTTATTTGTTATTGTGACAGTTGTTAAGAGTTTTAGTTATTTGTTATTGTTATGAGTTTTAGTTTTTTATTATTGTGACAGTTGTTATGAGTTTACGTTAGTTGTTATGAGTTTTAGTTATTTATTATTGTGACAGTTGTTATGAGTTTTAGTTATTTGCTTTGGTTGAGATTTTTATCAATTTATTATTGTTATGAGTTTTTGTTAATTGTTATTGTTATGAGGTTTATTTGTTATTGTTATTCTTAAGAATGTGTCTAATGTTTATTGTTGCGTTGTGCATTAGTACCCTCAACATTAGACATGTTGGATAATGAGGAAACATTGTGTTTCAGCCAAAAACATCTGGTCTGATTTAGGACCTTATTATGTATTATTTCAGCTCTATTTTAAAATTTTGTTAGTATTTATAGTTGGACAATTCACTAAAGATGAAGATGAATTAAGCCAAATTCTATACCATCATCGATAAGGTAAGACAGAAAATATTGAATTGATAAGAATTGAAAAATATATAGAAAACTGAAATGAAATATAATTGTTAGATTATAGATTTATAATGTTCATTTCAAATCAAAAAAATATACAGTCAAACTTCATAGTAATCACCTTTATATGCTGTATACAGGGAAATTTTTGCCCCCGTTTTATTTTTGCCCCTTTCGCCCTCTTCCTGATTGGGCGAATTTAAAACGGTGCGAATTCAAATTACACAGCATAATTTCTTAAACAAAACTATGACTGGGCGAGTTTAAAATGGGGCAAAATGGTTTGCAAGTTCGAAAGGGCGAAAATAACACGGGGCGAAAATAACCCTGTATACAGTAGCAGTCATCTTTCGTAGATGGCCATTTTATTTTATCCCAATGGAATATCCTATAAAATTTTATTCTATGAAGTGTCACCGTTATTATGCGATCATTTTTTAAACATTCAAGTTAAAGACCAAAAAATTGAGGAGCAATAAAAAACTTAAGAATAGCAGAAATTAAGGAATTTTAATCTTAATTGAAAGGGACTGACTGGGGTATTAATTGTAAAATGCCTGCAGTGAAATAAAACTTTTAATATTTTTAAAACATTGAAAAAAATCTAATTCCATGTTTAAAAAACACATTTTTTAATGATTGTTCTTAGAATGATAGGTAAGTGGACACCTTGATATTTTTTGTTTATGAATGGCATGATGAACATCAGTTCTTAAAGAAGGGTTATAAAAAATGTATAAAATATGCTATTAATTGATGTGTTAAATGCAGGAAATTAAAAATAAATTTTGAATTAATATTTTTCTGATACTTTTTTTAAAATGTAAATCCTTAGTATCTTTCATAGTCTTTTTTGTGACACTCCATAGAAAGGGAGACTTTAAATTTTATCATCTTAGATACCTCCTGTATTTCTTATGTATAATATGTACACTATAGAAGTACACTTTAGAATTTGAGCAAAGAATCTATTGTGGTATTTGTAAACTTGCTTTGAAGTGCAAAACTCTATCCCATATACCCCATGGTAATCCTAAAGTAAATGTACCTATATATTTTGATGGTACATGTACTTAAAAATATTCAGATGATAGATTTCCCCAAAATTTGGCCAAAATTTGGCATCTACACTTAATTCAATGGATGTAATCATTATACAATTTGATGTAAAATTGAATGTTTTCCTATGTATATTATGTTAATTTTACTCAGGAATACCCCATTCGACTCCCTTAATTACTCACTTATAGCCAGTACAATTATACAGGTTGTGAATGGATGCTTAGTGATTTTATTTCACTGGACTTTATAATATATTTTACAAGTAACGGATGTAATGAAGAACACTTTAAACGAAGCCAAATTGTCCATCCCTGGGACCTCGTTATATGTTTGACTGTAAATCCTAATATTAAAAACATTGCAACCCTACTTAATACATGTAGTCATTCCATGAATTTGATAATTATAGATATTCCATGACACCTGTCCCACCTGATGTTTTAGAGAAGTGTGTTTTTGCTCTCCTATTGACTTTAATTGTTTTTTATTAGGCCTCTGACCTTTTTTAAACTGTTCTTATTATCTTCAAATATTTCATTCACTCAATAATTAGCTTACAATTTCAAATGCCCAACTTCTGTAACTCTTGCGAATGACATTTTCCCACAATTATAGGAAATAAGTTTTCCATGTAGAAAACCAAAATACATCTTGTAAACATGGGTTTATCAGAGAAGATGAACATGACAATTAGAAACTCTTTTAAAAGGTCCTGTTAATTAATATCAACTGGTATTGTGCACTTCTTAGATATTCCAAATGTACAGTGCATATCAATTATGCAACAATTTATATAAACTTTTCAAAGATAAAAGTTGTTCCTTTTGTCTAATGTAAGATCCATCCTGAAAAGGCAAGGCTTATAGATTTTAACTCTCAAGAATCTTAAAGCAGCAAATGCTCTCAACAGGACTTGGTGGAAACAGCAGATGTATCTACTTGGACTTGGTGGAAACAGCAGAATTTTGCACCCAACAGGACTTGGTGGAAACACCAGATGCACCCAACAGATGGAGACAACTGGAGGATGCGGGGCCAATGAATGCAGATCTTCCAAGATGTGAAAACTGCAGATGGACCCGGCATGGTGGATACAACTGGAGGAGAGTTGCCTGATGATGTTGACCTTCCCAACAAGACATATCAAAGGAGATAACTGATAATGATCAGGTACATGTAAATGACATAATGGTGATCCAAGATCATCTAATTAACCATGTCAAATTAACTAGCTGACATTTTATTTTAAGCCTGGATTATTTTTAGCTCTACTGGTCAGACACAAAAAAGCTTATGTGAGGGTAAATATGGACATGGTGGAATTATACCAGATGGACTCAATAGGACTTGGTGGAAGGAACTGGAGGAGGCAGGCCCCATGGATGCTGATCTTCCAAGATGTGGAAACAGCAGATGCTCTCAACAGGACATGATGGAAACAGCATATGCACCCAAAAGGACATGGTGGAACAGCAAAAACACCCAAAAGGACATGGTGGAACAGCAAATACACCCAAGAGCATGTACATGGTGGAACAGCAAATACACCCAAGAAGACATGGTGGAAACAGCAAATACACCCAAGAGGACATGGTGGAAACAGCAGATGCACCTAACCAAGATATGGTGAAAACAGCAGATGCACTCAACCAATACATGGTGAAAACAGCAGATGCACCCAACCAAGATATAGTGGAAACAGCAGATGCACCCAACCAAGATATTGTGGAAACAGCAGATGCACCCAACCAATATATGGTGGAAACAGCAGATGCACCCAACCAAGAAATGGTGGAAACAGTAGATGCACCCAACCAAGATATGGTGTAAACAGCAGATGCACCCAACCAAGATACGGTGAAAACAGCAGATGCACCCAACCAATACATGGTGAAAACAGCAGATGCACCCAACCAAGATATAGTGGAAACAGCAGATGCACCCAACCAAGATATTGTGGAAACAGCAGATGCACCCAACCAATATATGGTGGAAACAGCAGATGCACCCAACCAAGAAATGGTGGAAACAGTAGATGCACCCAACCAAGATATGGTGTAAACAGCAGATGCACCCAACCAAGATACGGTGAAAACAGCAGATGGACCCAACCAATACATGGTGAAAACAGCAGATGCACCCAACCAAGATATAGTGGAAACAGCAGATGCACCCAACCAAGATATTGTGGAAACAGCAGATGCACCCAACCAAGATATGGTGGAAACAGCAGATGCACCCAACCAAGAAATGGTGGAAACAGTAGATGCACCCAACCAAGATATGGTGGAAACAGCAGATGCACCCAACCAAGATATGGTGAAAACAGCAGATGGACCCAACAGGACACATTAGACCAAAAGGACCTGATAAAAACAACTGGAGGATGAATTATAGATAATGGATGCTGATCTGACATTTATCAGGTATGTGATATTTATCCAAGATCACTTTATTAACAAATTCAAGTTAACTAGCTGGCTAAAATTTTAGCTGGTCTTATTTCTTATAGTCACCAATAGCTGACTTTTGTTATGGTGTTCAACCAGATAAACTAACTCTTTACACCAATATTAAAGTTTTGCTTAGAATTATAAAGCATACCTTAAATTACTGTATGGACAACTTGAACACTTGTTCAAAAACAGTTAAATGTGGATTTTCCTAAACAAACTTCAATGATATATTTTTTCACTTGTTCTTCTTTTGACGCAGATGCAGCCAACATTACTTTGTGCAAACAACTGGAATAGACAAGCTTGATGAACATCAAATGCACCCAAAAGGACTTAGTGAAAAAATCTGGAGGAGGCAAGGCCAATGAATCTTGAGGCAAACTTTATGGACAATGATTTTCCAATATGTGAAAACACCAACTACACCCAAAAGGAATTGGTGGAAACAACTAAAACAAACAAACCTGATGGACAATAATCTTTAAAATGTGGAAACATCAGATGCCCCCAACAAGACTTGGTGGAAACACCTGGAGGACAATGCCTGATGGATGTTGACTTTTCCACCCAGACATACCACAGTGGATAGCTGACACTGATCAGGTATATGACATTATCATATTCCAAATCATCATATTGTTTATAATAAAGAAGGCCAAGTTAATTAGTAGACCAAATTTTTAGTCCAGGACTCTCTTTTTTTGTAGTCGGCAATGTATATAGCTGGCTTTTGTAATGGTGTTCAACCAAACATGCCGACTCTTAATTCATACCAATATTAAAATTTTGCCTAGAAATGTTATATATAATGTATACTCTAAACCACCCCTTATACATTTTTCTCAAACACTTGTTCAAACAAAGTTAAATAAAGTGTAGATTTTTATAAAAAATCGATAAATATGTTTTTCTCCCATCTTCTTCTGATTTTTGACTCGAAATTTCTTAATAATAATATTCATTTGATCCTCCTATTAGCCTGGCTGTGTCACATTCTACAGAGGTTGTGTTATCGTGATAAAACTGATGCAGTATGTGACCAGATGCACACCTTGCTGCAAAAGTCCCCACCAAGACCTCATCTGTGCACATTGATATGTTTGACCTTCCTACTGTTTGTTTATCTCTGGAAGTGGTATAAAACAGAATGATACATCTAATATAATTTATTTATGTTGAGAAATTCTCAATTTCATTTTTTGTGTTGTTGCCAGCATGACACAGTGGTATATAAGAGCATCTGCTATAAAGTAGCAAAGTAAGGAATTGATCCTAACGTGGGTTTGAATCCCAATATGAGACAAGCAGACTGATCCTTCAGATGATATCATATATACTTAGGTGCCATATCGCTGTAGGTGCTGGCACAATAAAGATCCCTCGCTGCTCTATGACCCTAATTAGCACCAAGTATAGGTCTATATTTGGAAAAATGCCGCATTGCCATTTAAGTGAAAAATTCTCAAGAGGGACTTTAAACAAGAAACAGACAAGTAATCAAACAAATTTTGTGTTAATCATTTTTAAATCTACTATGCCATAGAAACAACCAATTCTGTGTTATTTATTTTAGTCTTCCAGTTTCTCAGAAACTTGTTATCCATTTTTCATAACAATTAATGTATGTATATACATCTGAGTATACTTTGATGAAAAGTTGTAAATGACTCGCAGATCTGTATCATTTGTACAAGTACTTCTGACACTCAATGCAGATGTGAAAAAAATAGAGCTATTTTACTTGGTATAAATATAGAATATGTAGTTTTTGCATTTTTCTGTTTAACGTTTTAGAAAATGCAGTAACATTGGATTCCTGACTTATTTTAAGGTTGAAGATTTGGAGAACAGACTAAGGAGGAAATTAAACTGGATTCATGTGGATTTTCTTGACTATTTCAAGGATGAGAATCTTTCAGGTATGGAAAACTGACCTTGTTTGCTATATTGTATCTTTTTTGCTCACCTTAGCAAGTGAGCTTTTCTGATCAAAATTTGTTCAATGTCTGCTGTTGTCATAATTTTTTCACATTTTTACCTTCTTTTCTGAGTGCATGTGATAAATGAACCATTAAGCCAATTTCAACCAAAATTGGCACAGAGTGTCCTTGGGTAAAGGGGATTCAGTTTGTACATTTGAAGGGCCATGCTCTCTTCTCGAGGTGGGGGGGGGATAATTAAAAAGTAGTGAAAATTAAGTCGGGTGTTATTCAAAAATCATTTTCTCGGAACAAATGGGTCAGATCTTTATAAATAGATATGAATTCTAATCTGCAATTTATTTAAAAAGCAGTTTTCACATACACATGCACTCTTATTTTCATCTTATTGGCAGAGATCATTTATGTGAAGTTTTCAGCACAGAGTAGCCAGTGACCATTCTTACTTTAAAAGTGAATTTTAATTCATGTTGCTTTCGTTGTTTAGGAGCTCTTCAATAGAACTTTTAACAAGTAAAAACAAAATGAAATTTAACTTATATTGAATGGACCTTGTACGTCAGGAAAATCTTGAAAAATCTTCTTCTTAGGGGCAGATCAGCAATGATTGGTCATATCCTCAGTTAGTGTACATAGATTCAAATTTGTTCAAACCATTATCCCTCAGGTGTAGAGAGAGGCCAAAGTTATGCAAAGAAATTAATATAAAGAATATTTCAATAAATATAGTTTTCTTCTCTGTATGAGCAACGCTATAATAAGTCATATTAATTCAGAAGCATCTTCAGATAGTGAAGATTCCAGTGTGTGTTCAAATCATAGTGAGTGTAGATTCAAGTTTAAGTTTTCAATACTGAACTGATTTCTGCTTTTTCCTAGCCCTAGTGCTTAGGTGACCAATGTAACACATATGTCTCTTGTTAGTTTTTTTTAATTCAAAATTAACCTTACAATTACCTTTTGCCTTTTTTATTTACAGAAAAAAAAAGAAATTTTAGAAACAACATATGTGGATGAAGAAGCAGGACTTAATTAATTAATGCAGGATAAATCCAAATCTTTAAAATCACTGATGAGAATGCATTCTAGTAACAATGTTTTTTTCAAAGACTATTTTAAACATATTTTTGTAAAGGGTGTCCGAATTATGTTAGGGTATGGGGTCGCCCATTCGGACAAGTGGGTTCTCTACGGGTACTCCGTCTTCCTCCCACACTGACCCCCCGCTTTTCTCTTTTTTCTTCATTACCTATACATGTCTTTAATTATCTTTTTATTATTATGCCAATGAGATAATTGCTATTGTAATTGTTTAGATGAATTTAAGTTAATTATGTTTCAGATGTAATATTTGTTAAATGTGACATAAGTATTCCTAGAACGTGTAAATCCTACAGCTAGTGTAGCAGTAATAATTTGTATAGTCAACTCTTGGTTAAATTATAGCTTATCGTGAAATTGAATGCATAATATGCTGATGTGACTACGAATGTACAGTGAAAGAAATGGATATAAAATTGTGAATTGCATATAAAAATGTAAAATAGTGATTTGCCTCTAAAAATGTTAAATTGTGATTTGTGAATGTTAATTAATTTAATCATGATTTAGAAATGTTAAAATGTGATTTTTTTAATGCATTTGTGAATTGTTGATGTGAAATTGTGAATTGTTAATGTAAAAATTGTGAATTGTAAATGTGAAATTATTTAATCTCATTGGCAAGTTTTGTGCCCAATAAAAAAAAACAAAAAAAACAAAAACAAAAAATTTAAAAAACAAAAGCAGAAAAAAAAAGGGAAAAAAAGAAGAAAAGAAATCAAAACAAAAAAAACAAAAAAAGGAAAAAAGGAAAAAAATAAAACAAAAAAAAGAAATAAAGATGAAATAAGAAAATGAAAGAAAAACAAAAAAAAAGCAAACAATTAAAACAAAAAAAAAATAGAGAGAGAGACAGAAAAAAAAACTGGAAAAGGGCACAAAACTTTTAATGCTGCCTGCCTGAAGTAACATATTTGCATGTTATTTCAAGCAGAAGGTTCCAAGCCCTTAAAAGCAGAGGAGAAGTTTTGGTGTTTTAAAAATAAGTACATTACTGAATGTATTGAGTGTGGCCAATTTAATTTAGACAAAGCTGATCAAACTTTTTAAAAATCAATTATCAAATAATTTCTAGCACTGGTATCTTCTATAACCTTGCAGTGTTTTGCTGAAATGATCAGTGCAAAATCATTACATGTATTTCCATATGCAACTTTGTTACTCTCTTTAAATGAATATTAACACTTTTTAGCTGATGCCTACAAGTTAAAAAAAAAATTAATTCTCATATTTCTTGTCCACAGTAATTTTAAAATGGGGACATAGATTTGGAGTTCATATATTCTGGGGTAGTGTAAATTTTAAATTGTTGATATCATGACCCCCGAGGGTAGGGCGGGGCCACAATACCGAATTTGTTTTACATAGAAATATATAGGAAAAAACTTTTAAAATCTTCTTCTCAATAACCACTGGGCCAGGAAAGCTGAAACTTATGTGGAAGCATCCTTGGTTAGTGTAGAATCTAAATTGTTAAAAACATGACCCTGGGGGTAGGGCGAGGCCACAATAGAGAATCCAAGTTTTACATATAGAAATATATTGGAATTAAAGTCTTTAAAAATCTTTTAAAGAACCCCTAGGCCAGGAATGCTGAAACTTTTATGGAAGCATCCTGGATAAGTGTAAATTTTGAATTATTAAAATCATGACCCCCGGGGATAGGGCGGGGCCACAATAGGGAATCCAAGTTTTACATAGAATTATATAGGAAAAATCTTCACATTTAATCTTAATTCTTCTCAAGAACCACTGGGCCAATGGAGCTGAAATCTTGAAGGGATAGTGTAAATTCTAAATTCTTAAAATCATGACCCTTGGGGGTAGGCAGGGCCGCAATAGGGATTCCAAGTTTTACATAGAAATATATAGGAAAAATCTTTAAGAATCTTCTCAAGAACCATGAAGCTGATATTGATCAAAGCATCCTGGGGTAGTTAAAGTTCTGAATTATTAAAATCATGACCCCCGGGGATAGGGCAGGGGTCACAATAGGGAATCCAAGTTTTACATAGGATTATATAGGAAAAATCTTTACAAATCTTCTTCTCAAGAACCACTGGGCCAGTGGAGCTGAAACTTTGATGGAGTAGTGTAAATTCTAAATTCTTAAAACCATGATCCTTGGGGGTAGGCAGGGCCACAATAGGGAATCCAAGTTTTACATAGAAATATATAGGAAAAATCTTTAAAGATCTTTTCAAGAACCACGTGCCAGTGGAGCTGAAAGTTATGTGGAAGCATCCTGGGGTAATGTAGAATCTAGATTGTTAAAAACCATGACAGAGGAGGGGGTAAGGGCCACAATAGGTATAACAAGAGGGGAAATCTGGTAAAGAGCTGCATTACCCAAGTTACTCAGGTGAGCGATATGGCCCATGGGCCTCTTGTAATAGTATGTGGCATGCAAGTAGACTACACTGAGATATGTAATAATTGTCTTAATTTATTAATTTTTAAAAATTTTTTAACAAGCACCAGTCTAATTCGAGTGCGCATGACTTTGTGCAGCATTTTTAGCTCACCTGAGCCGAAGACTCAAGTGAGCTTTTCTGATCACATTTTGTCCGTCGTCTGTCTAGCTGTCTGTCCGTCTGTTAATTTTTCACATTTTTGACTTCTTCTCAAGAACCACTAAGCCAATTTTAACCAAACTTAGTACATAGCATCCTAAGGTAAAGGGGAGTTTCAATTATTAAAATGAACGGCCAAGACCCATAAAAAAGGGGAGGTAATCAAGAAAAGAAACAAAATAGGGTGGGGTCATTAAAAATCTTCCTCTCAAGAGCCACTGGGCCAGAAAAGCTAAAACTTATGTGGAAGCATCTTGGGGTAGTGTAGATTCTAAATTGTCAAAACATGACCCCGGTGGTGGGTAGGGCCACAATAATAGGGAATCAAAGTTTTACATAGAAATATATAGGAAAAATCTTTAAAAATCTTCTTCTCAAGAACCAATGGGTCAGAAAAGCTGAAACTTATGTGGAAGCATCCTGGGGTAGTGTAGATATTAAATTATTCAAATCATGACCCCCGGAGGTCGGGCAGGGCCACAATAAGAGGGAATCAAAGCTTTACATAGAAATATATAGGAAAAATCTTTAAAAATCTTCTCAAGAACCACTGGGCCAGAAAAGCTGAAACTTATGTGGAAGCATCCTGGGGTAGTGTAGATTCTAAATTATTCAAATCATGACCCCCGGTGGTAGGGCGGAGCCACAATAGGGAATCAAAGTTTTACATAGAAATATATAGGAAAAATCTTTAAAAATCTTCTCAAGAACCACTGGGCCAGAAAAGCTGAAACTTATGTGGAAGCATCCTGGGGTAGTGGTGTAGATTCCAAATTGTTCAAATCATGACCCCAAGAGGGTTGGGCGGAGCCACAATAGGGAATCCAAGTTTTACATTGAAATATGTATATTGGAAAAAACTTTTAAAATCTTCTTCTCAAGAACTACTAGGCCAGAAAAGCTGAAACTTATGTGGAAGCATCCTGGGGTAGTGTAGATTTTAAATTGTCCAAAGTATGACCCGTGGGGTATGATGGGGTCACAACAAGTGTTACAAAGGGGAAAATGGGTTAAGAATAGCATGGTTAAAGCTTCTCAGGTGAGCAATGTGGCCCATGGGCCTCTTGTCTTAAATGCAAATGAAATATGTTGGTACTCAAAGTAAGGTCTTCTCACAAGAAATATATGTACAATTGCATTTGTTAACTACTAAAGCTCTAACACCACCTGTTCAAAAATTATGGCCAAAGATAAGTTTTTAAAAAGTAGGTCAAACTCAAAGGCCGACGGGTCGAAGGTGTTGGTATCCAATTAAAGGTCTTGTCACAAGGATTAGATATGTGAAGTATGAAAGCTCTCGCCCTAACTCTTCAAAAGTTTTAACCAAGGTTTGTTTTTAAAAAGTAGGTCAAACTGCAAGGTTAAAGGGTCAAAGTTGTTAATCCCCTTTAGTAATGGCTAAGACTTTCATACTTCACATTAGTATTCTTTGTGACAAAACCTTTCATTTATTAAATACGCTATGATTTTGACCTCCGGACCTTGATGTTTGACCTACTTTTTCAAACACTTCAACCTTGGAGATATAGGGCTTTCATATTAAAGCTGTATAATGCCTGTGGCAAGTCCTTTTTAAATACACTTTGATTTTGAAGTTAAACATACTTTCAAAAAAATTAAACATTACTTAAAATTGGCCATAACTTTTTGAATGAGAAGAGATGGACTTTCATATTATACATGTATATTATCTGTGATAAGAACTTTCTATATACACTGTAATTTTTTACATCGTGACCTTGACCTTGGAAGTTTGTCCTACTTTTAAATACTTTAACCTTGGTCATAACTTTTGAATATGTGTATTGCCCGTGACGAGGCCTTTCTAAAATACACTATTGCTATGATTTTTTACCCCTTAACCTTGATGTTTGACCTACTTTTCGAAAATGTTAATTTTTCCTTATAACTTTTGATTGAAGAGATAGGGATTTCATATTTAACAAGTGCATAACCTTTGACATTATATTTCCGAGCATGCGATGATTTCTGACTCCTTAACCTTGACCTTCATGATTGACCTTATTTTTAAAAAATTCATCTTCAGGGATAACTTGTGAATGACATATGAAGGGGCCACAGACACCTGAAGTTACTTATTTTTCTCTTAATAAAACAAGGTATATTTGTGAAATATTGATGTTCCCATATGCAAACTAAGACCGCGGAACATTAACTGGCAAAATTGGAAATAAACAGCTTACGTCATTTCTATCTGTTACAATCAAAACAATCAGTGATAGACAATGAAATGGGCGGGTACAATTCGACGCGGACGTGGGAAAAACATGGGATTGAAATTGCAGATCGAAATTCATTTTCAATCCACCTCAGCTACGCTAGAAGGCACATTACTGATTGACCCAAAAGACAAATAATTTCAATTTTGGTCAGTTTGAAGATAGTTAATATAAATCAGAATTTTCTGTAAAGTGTTTCAAAGAAATGTATGAAGGGACAAGTATTTGATTTCTGTTTGGTAAATATATGTTTGTGTTGGGGAGGGGGGGGGGCTTAACAATTTTAAATAAAGTTGTCCAACATTTTTCAGTGAGAATAAGTATTAAACTCATGCACTCTTATAATCCTAGAAATAAAATATATTGTCATGTTAAGTCATGACCTGACTCGACAATTTTTACCCTTCTAGAATCAAATATCTCCTGAAAAATAATCTTTGTCTTCTCTGATCTTTCGCATCCTTAAAACTATAAGCTAAAACTCGTTTTAATGTGAACTTCAAACAGTATGTATTCGGGAGTTGAAATTAGTTGATTTTTGGATCATATATTCACTCTTAGCTTTGAAAACAGTTCAGGTGGATTAAAAATGAATTTCTATCTGCAATTTCAATCCGATGTTTTCCCCACGTCCGCGTCGAATTGTACCCGCCCATTACACTGTCTATCACTGAATGTTTTCATTGTAACAGATAGAAATGACGTATATGGCACGCCAAATTCACAAAAATGAGATAAACCTAGTTTCACATTTGATAAACTAGGTTTCTCGACTGTAAACTATAGTTTACAAACCGTAAACTATAGTTAACGATTCGTTCACTATAGTTAACGATTCGTTAAGTATAGTTTTCATCTGTAAAACTATATTTAACTGTTGTTAACTATAGTTTACGAATGATAATCTAAGTTTATCTGTCTTTAATAAGCGTTGACAATAGATTTTGTTGATAAACATAGATTCACGTTTGTAAAATATAGTTTACAATCGTAAACTATGGTTAAGAGTTGTTAATCATAGTTTCACAAATCGTGAAACTATATTTATCAGATCGTTAACTATAGTTAACGGTTTGTAAACTATAGTTTACAAATCGTGAAACTGTATTTATCAGATAATCTATGTTTTGCAATCGCAAATGATTGTTTTCAGTGTTAAATATAGTTTACGGTTGTGAAACATAGATTATCGCGTTAACTATGGTTTACGGATGTAAAATATAGATTAACGTTGTTAACTATAGTTTACAGTCCGTAAACTATAGTTTACAACCAATAAACCTAGTTTATCGACTGTGAAACTATGTTTAGCTCATTTTTGTGAATTTGGCGTGCCATAGACGTAAGCTGTTTATTTCCAATTTTGCCAGTTAATGTTCTGCGGTCTTAAATACGTTGGTTAGAAAATAAGATCTTCTTACAAGAAATACAATTGTGAAATATGAAAGCCTATGCACCTCCTGTTCAACGGTTATGGCCAAGGATAAGTTTTTGAAAGGTAGATCAAACTCCAGGGTCAAGGTCAAAGGATCAAAGTTGTTGGTTTTTAAAGAAAGGTCTTGTCAAAAGGATTATATATATATGAAGTATGAAAGCCATAGTTCTAACCATTCAAACTTTGGTATTCAATGAAAGGTCTTGTCACATGGATTAAATGTGAAAAGTATGAAAGCCCTAGCCTTAACCCTTCAAAAGTTATTGTCAAGGTTCGTTTTAGATAGTAGGTCAAACTCCAAGGTCAAAAAAGTCAAAGATGTCGGTATCCAATGAAAGGTCTCACAAGGATGACATATGTAAAGTATGAATAAAGCCCTACCTCTTACCTTTCAAAAGTTATGGCCAAGGCTAAAGTTTCTTTTTTGGTATATACATCTCCAAGGTCAAGGTCAAAGATATTGGTATTTTAAAATGAAAGGTCTTGTCACAGAAATTACATATGTGAAGTATGGAAGTCCCAGTAACTACTCTCAAAAGTTATGCTAAAGTAAAAGTTCAGAATGTTTATGTAAAACTCCAAGGTTAAGGTCAAAAGGTCAAATTTAGTGGTATGCAAAGAAAGGTCTTATCACAAGGAATACACATGTGAAAGAAAGTCATGGTTCCACTTAATCAAAAGTTAAGGGCGAGGTTTAAGTTTTTGCGGACAAACAGATTGACAGACAGTCACACAACAAAAACTATATGCCCCCGGATCTTCGATTACCGGGGCATGAAAAATGTACCCCTACCTAATAATACACTAGGTAGGGGTTCATTTTTTTTATATTGAGAGAAAATTAAAAAAGTAACGTCAGGTGCCTGTGGAAGGGGTGTTGCTAAAACGCGGAACGGAAAACGGAAATTTTTTTGTCAAACAAATGACATAAATTCGGCATAAATCAGATATAAAAGCAATTTTTTTACGTATAAAAGTCGTATTAAATAAAAAATTATCGTAAGCTATTATATATTCATGAATCGTGCATACCCTCAGAACTGACACGTGTTCATGTGATGGTCTTTAAAATACATTATAACTAGACTCAGATCCTGCGTATCCATCTAAACGTTTATTTCAAAGTATTTTTTTTTCTTTTGAAAGAAAGCTCATTCATGAAAAAACATACATGTATTGTCTTGATATAGGTACATGTAGAAGGAAAAAAACTACTAGAATGTATACATAAAAATATTTGTAAAGATAAAATAACTAGTTTTTGACATTCAGATTATGCAAGCAGTGGCGAATCCAGAAATCTGTAAGGGGAGGGGGGCAGTTTTGGGTCTGGGTAGGGGCCGCTGACAGATAAGTCGGACCATTGCAATGTCGGACTATAACAAACTCGGATAAATCGATACAAAAAAGCGTTTGTATGCTTTCGGGTCAAATCAATATACTGCCTTGTAATGTCATCCTTAGAAATGTGAACCCTGGTTACTAAAGACATTAACTACATCATCTATAAAAATAATAGTCCAAATCTTCTTAAAGAAAAGGTCTTGTCAAATAAGAGTTATCATAGGTGTCGGAACCGGGGGAGGGGGGTCTTAGCCTTCCATTTTTTTTTTGTTGTTGCAAAGATAGACATAATATAGTATTGAAAATATGGACGTAAGTTTACCCCCTCACTTTCAACAGGCAGGTAACAGTTTAGGTCAAAAGAAGGTTAGTGGTAGCTTGTTGGGAAATTGGTACGGAAAGAAGTGCGACCCCCCCCCCCCCCCAGTCACACCAAGAAATGACTATTAAATCTTATGTAAATTTTGGACTAAAAAGGGGAAGGGCATACCTTTAGCAACTCCTCATACCTTTCCGATGAGCGGAAAAACAAAGTCAAATCAAATGATTTACGGGTCGTACATATACCCCCCCCCCCACACACACACACATGTACCACATACAAACAAACTTTAACTTCACTGAATGTAAAGATGCCACATTAAATTTACCACAAAAAAGCTTTCCATATTTATCTATCTATAGAATTTCAATGAATAGGATGCGACTATATTTTGTATAAAATTTTAACGAGTGTTACATGTACCTGAGCGGTGTTTATATGCAGGATAGGTTTGCTCTAACCATAATGGCAAGAATTTTTTTTTACATAATCATCTCTACCATGGTTCATCTAACATTTGCCCCCCCCCCCCCCCCCCCGCTTTTCCGAGACGTAACCTTTCAACTATAGAAGTTAGAAATGTTCATTGAAACCCCATCCCTTTTGTTAGTGTAATTAATGTAGTCATTTAGTGTAAAAAATAGTACTGAATGATGTTGGAATTGGAACTTATCCCTGCTCCTGAATCAAACAAAGTCTGTCTTTTTATTTTTTGCTTGTCAGATTCTTTTCAAGTAAATTTGAACCCACCCACCCCTTACACACACACACTTTCAAATACAATTGTAAGTCACTGCTATGTCAGAGATTTTCATGAGTAAGAGACTGAACATAACTAAATCAGCTTGTATTTAACAATGGAGGATTGAATACTAGTATATATCAGATGTATCGTTTGTAATAAAATTTGTATATTTTTAGTGATTTATTTAAATCTAACCGTTCCGCGTTTTAGAAACATCCCTGTGGAAGGGCCGTTCATATTTGACACAATGTGTCATAAAAATGACACTTCGCCCACGAAGACACCGAAAGCGGGAGACCACAATTCTTTGAATTTGCTTGTTTAATTCTTACTGTACAAACTAATTTTAAAAGCATCAGTTTTCTGTGAAATAGCATCGGGTTCGATCTTCATAAAATTGCTGCCTCGAGCAAAGCGGTACCAAAAATTAAAAAAATTAATTAACAAGGATCGAAGGAAAGGAGTTAAATTTAAACGACTTAAAGCACTATTCTCAGTAAAAATAAAGGTGAGGGTCTATCTTTTAAGAAGAGTTACACGAGGATACTTGTAGTTTTTTTCCAATGAGTGAAATTATGCCATACATTTACCTGGGTAGAGACTGAAAATTTGGTCTGACGGGTAGTAGACGTCAGACTAAATTTTCAGTCTCTACCCATCTCGCTGAGATTAACATTTACCAGGACCAGCACAATCTCTTGATTAAGCTGTATAGCTTTATTAAGCTATTCAAAGTAGCTTGATAAAGCTGTTTATGTGCAGTTTTTCACAAAAACGTTTTTAGCAAGAAATAAACAAAAAGTCGCAAGTATTTTACTATTCACTATGTACTATGGATTAGTATCAAAAATACACTTTTTATACAGCCTAAATCATAGAAAATTCTAACATTGCTGCTGTTGAATACTTTTAATCAAAATGTAAATTTCCATTGTTTGAGTAACTGTCCACTACTTTGGGTGCAGTGAGGCGTGGGTAAGAATGATTGCTTTTCATTGTGCTGAACTGTTACCAATCAATTATCCTGTTGGCCATAACTGACCTCCATTATAATTTCATTCAAGAAATAACTGTGTGTCCACTCATCAATAGCCCCAAAACTTTCAAAAATTTGAATACAAAGTCTCTCAAGGAGACACCATTTGGTGAGTGATTTTTACATGCATTGTATTCAGAAGAGTTCAAATTAAAGTTTAATATTTCTAATGCACCAAGGTACGACTTTTTGCACATGTTCAAAAAATAACACATTTGAGAAAAAAGTCGGATAAAATAGTTTAATCAAGCTATATTGAAAAGCTTAATAAAGCTACATAGCTAAATCAAGCAATATAGCTTAATCAAGAGATTGTACCGGACCTGTTTACCAAACGATTCTATATCTGTCTATAGATGCACGTATCATGTGTATAGGTTTATCTTATCGTAACAGTATTCAGTTCTTTTCTTTGGGAAATTAAATTTAATGAAGAACACTGTAAACATGACTTGTTTGTCAAGTATTTAAATTTTTGGACTGATGAACTTTATGTCAATGAATTTAAGTTAGATGTGTTACATGTGCCAGATTCCCAAGACATGTAAAGGATATAATTAAATACCCTATAGGGATACTGGTAGGTTGTTAGTTCCAATGGAATTAGCGGCTAAACCACCTTTCATATTTTTTAAAGCAACACAATGGCTGCTAGCAGGGAAAAGAGAGGCAATGCAGGAAACAGAATGGCTCGCCTGCTTGAAGCAGAGGATGAAGATGAATTTTACAAAACCACATACGGAGGATTCGACGAGGTAAGGTTTGTCAAGAAAACTGTGTGGATCTTTTTTATTGTTTTAATCAGTTGTTTCATTAGAAATGCCAAACAAAAGAACCACATGAAAAATATTTATAATTTAGTTTAAATTACAGTAAAATTTGTCTAATCCGGACTCTGAGTACTCCGGACTTTTGTCCATTCCGTCTACAAATTTTAGTCCCATGCACTTCTTTAACAAATTCAATAAAAAAAATTCTGTGTAGTCCGGATACTGTCTATTCTGTATTCCGAACGGCCATACTAGTCCCAACTGCTCATAATTAACGGTAATTATTCCCTCTAATCCGGCCACAACTGAGTTACTTCAGAGCAATTAACACCTTTCGTGGTGGATGTTATAATCCGTGTTTACATTAGCATGATTAGTGCCATAAGACGTAATCTGTGAAATGCGGCGGTGACGCAGCCCACTTGAAAAATATATTATATGATTAAATTACAATTTAAAAAAATTAACTTTGTTTTAACTCCTTTTACTACATTAAAACATAAACACAAAAATATATGTACGCGATTTACAAATCAATATATAAATCGGGATCGAAAATCGAACGTATTTCAAAATGGCGCCATAACACTGTGGGGGAAGACGTAGTTTTTTTTACATAAAAATTAAAAGTTCAATCTAATAATTAGCACATCGTAAATAATTGCGCATTGTTAATACATTGAATGAGATCTTTGACAAGCGAAACCCGGTCCGCTTGATACATAGTAAGCCTATATTATGCGTGCCTGTCCTGTATATTTTGATTGAGGTAACATTTCACCCGACTTTCATACTTCGTGATTGAACAAATAAGAAAATAAATTTAAGTCATGTGAGACTATTCTATAATTTCAGACTCCAAAATATTAATTTATTTCATCATTTAATTTTATTTATAATATGTATATGATGTACTTGTAAATAAACAACGAAATTTTCGAAATTGACATTTTCCTGCATTTTTCCTGCACTACGGATTCTGTCTAAACCGGCCAAATTTTATGGAACCGGCGGTAGCCGGTTTGGACAAATTATACTGTACATGTGAAGACCACATTTTAAATCTGTATATCTGCTGAAGTAGCTTTGGAAATTCTTTCACGGTTGACTTACTTGACTACATGTTCATGTAATTTGAAAAAAAAGGTCTATAATGATGGTTTCATTGATTGGATGTTTAGGAAGAAGGCGATGTAGTGTACGAGTCAGAGGAGTCAGAAGAAGATGAAACAGACTCTGATATAAGTATTGATGAAAATGATGAGCCTAAAAGTGACGATGAAGATGAAGGTCCGAAGAAAAAGAGAAGAGTCGTTACTAAAGCTTATAAGGTACAGAGTTTCCTGATTACTGCAGGGACTGTTGTTTCTCTTGTTTGCATGTAGACAATACTGACAAATGGTAAATTGATTTGCATGTACAAAACAAGATATAACAAATGATTCTTTTTGCCAGTATATATAGCATGTAGAATTACCGTACAAGTGGAAATTTTAGCGAGACACAAATTTAGCGATTTGTCCTTAAAAACTGATCATTTATTTTTAACGAGATGTTATTTTAGTGATTTTAAAATGCATATTAAAGAAGCTGTTACAAATAAAACACAACTAATTTTTAGCGATATTCAATTTTAGCAATCTTGGCCTCCTCGCTAATAATGCCAAAATTAAATCCTCGCTAAAAATTCTTCTTATACGGTACATATTCTTAAGTTTGCTATTAATACCATGCAAACATTATAAAATTTTTGTGGCATATAGGTATACTTACGTATAATTTTAGGATTCACATGTACATACATCTAATTCTTATTATAGGAACCACCTGCAAAGAAGAAAACAGAAGATAAAAAACCGAAACCTAAAACAGAGAAAGTTTCCAAAGTACAAATTTATCACACACCAGGTACGGAAGATATCTTGGGTGGTACTAAGTATTTTATGTTCATAACTAGAGGGAGGAATATTTCTTGACACTTTCTTTTTATAATATTTATTATATGTGAACAGAAAAGAAGAAACTTAGAAACACAACATCAGAAAAGTCCAAAGCCAGAGAACAGAGAGACAAGCAGCGAGAGGCCAGAGCCAAAATGCTGAAGGAAATGGCGGCTCAGAAGCGAGTGTCAGAGGTCAGGAGGTTAACTCAGGAGGAGCTACTGGAGGAGGCAAAAATCACAGAAGAGGAGAATCTGACATCTCTGGGTAAGTGTGAGCGAGTCTAAAGAATACTGTAAACCAGCTTTTATTCACGTGCAAGAAATATTCACGAGTTTCATGACTACTTGGACTTGTGAATATTAATCACTGCAGACCCTTTCTTTTGCTTTGTATTTGTAGAGAATAATTCCTCAATTGCGAAAATTAATTGTGGAATGATCGTGGAATGATTTAAAACTGATAAATTGCAAATTTATAAAAGATGACACAAATAATAATTGGTTTACAGTAAATCTCTGAATGAGTCAAACTCGTACTTAGAATAAAAGGAGTGAAGGTGATGAAGATTTTTTTTTTTTAGAACAAAAGCGAAATACTGAATTTTAAATTAAACAAAAAGCATTCACAAAAATAAATCATTGAAAAGAATATTGTTTCAGTGAGATTAATGTTAATGATGTTATTTGCAGAAAATTATCAAAGAATGGAACTAGAGAAAAAGAAGAACCGCATTCAGAAACAAATGCATCGAGGTCCAATCATCCGCTATCATTCCATGACCATGCCTCTGATTGAGGAGCTTCCCCCAGAGCCAGAAATCAGTGTGGATGAGGACAGGTAAATGTGATTGACTCTGATGTTTTATATTTGTCTCAAGCAAAGTAGACTAGACTTATAGTTAGAAAAAAAATACCCTATCTCTCATTGATCAACCTCAATATTTTGGGAGATATGAAAGTAAGAATTATGTGTCTTCTTCACAGGGATTGGTTGGTTGTAATAAGTTTTAATAAAAGTGAAGGAATGTATTGTTTTTGTTCACCTGAGCCAATGGCTGAAGTGAGCTTCTCTGAACTGACACTTGCCTGTTTATCTGTCATTTATTCGTTTGTTAGCTTTTCATATATTTACCACTTCTTATCCAATAGGCATGTTGCACTCCATGGAAAAATAAAAAAAAAAATGGTAAAAGTAGGATAGCATCATTATTCATGAATCATGTTCTCTCAGAAAATAAAAAAAAATAGCACTATCATATAGTTACGCATCTTCGCTAGCCAAGGATTTCTGATACGCTACTCTCCTCATAAACCCTTGGCATACGGTGTTCATAGAAATCGGGATTTTTACCAGAGTTCTGATTGGATTTCAGTACACCCAGGTCGACCAATCAGCAATTGTTTTTTGTAAATGACGATATTTGCGTTCGGGATACATCTTCACTCTTTAATCTCGGAAATGAAAAACGCAAGAAAACAACGATCCGTAACATTCAATTCTAAAAATAGCCATGGTGTCATCCAATATCTTCTAAATATGTGATTATAGATTCCAATATCTTCTAAATATGTAATTAAGAATCTATATTGAAGCTTCAGATTTGTTCTTTAAATAATGAATAAACATAACTCAATTATTGCTTCTTAATTATTCTTGAAAAAACTTTGATTTAATTTTTTTTAACACGTGTCTTTATTTCTGGCGATGACGCAATCTGTGCATACCTGATAGATTCGAGATCACGTTACGGAAAACATTCCCGTCTTTTGACTTCACCGTATGACAAGGGTTTATGAGGAGAGGAGCGTATCAGAAACCCTTGGCTAGCGAAGATGATAGTTACAATTTTTTTTTTGAACTTATGATATTCTTATGATAATTTACTGTCTGCTGAAATCAAACAAATACCAAATTGAAAAAAAAAGAATGTCTGGCCACAATTAAAACATTGTTTAGTTGCCCCCTCCTGGCCGACTGACTGAAAATGGCCCAGCTAAAAACTTTTCTTTTACACTCCAGGACAATTTTTTTTCTTTTTATTCCTCTCATCCTGTCTGACAACAAATACAAAGGTTTTTTTAAGTTGCAAGAACTTGTAACCAATCCCTTTGTATAAATTATACAATAAAATATGTTCAAAACAACAAATACATGTATGTTGAAATTTTCTGGAAAAAAAGATTTTCCCACCTACCCAATAATTTTCCCCTGATTTGAGAGTGGGCAAACAAACATTATTTTAAAGATGCCCTGGACTCAGAAATTTCAATTCTTGGAGCAATTTCTATGTTACATTTGTATTTCCATTTTTAATTGTTTTTTTTTTAATTCTCATTTTGCAGAGTTTAAATGTTGAATCTTTTTGGAATATTGAATATAAATTTAGCAAACATGTGGCATGCACAATAGTCATCAATGAGCATTTTTCCATTTTGGTTGTTATTAAACCAGTATATTTTTGTACTGTACATAAATAATTGCAAATGATAATATTTGGTGATATTGGATCTAAATTTTAGAATGGTTGTTGCTAAAATATGTACTCCATAAAAAAACCTGGTCAGGCCAAAATAAAATTATAGTTTGTTTGGAATTGCCTCTCGCCTCATTGAAATGCCCCCTCCTGAAAAAAAATTATTGACCAAAAGTAGGAAGATTTTTTTTATTTAATTTTTTTGCCCGTTATCACATGCACAATACAAAACACTGAAATGTAGTGTCAGATCTATGCAAAATTATGTTTCTTTGTTGATGGTAGATACTTTTTTAAAAGTCAGAAAATGTAATTACTGTTTTATACTGAGAAATTTATCAAAAATTTAAAATTTATAAAAAAAAAATAATTTCCCTTCCTCCCTACTGTGTCTGAAACCCTTCAGGCAGCAATTCCAAACAAACAATTTTTTAAGGGTGGCCTCAGTTATTTATTTTAACCCATAAAATACCCGATAGGATTGAAGTTTTATGCATTAATATTTGTTACAAATAAAAAAATGTCTCAATTTATCATCTTGTAATTTCAGTGCTGAACCACAGAGAAAATTGGATGAAAATGAAAAGTGTTCAAGAACATTTATTACATTCACGGATGAGAGAAACTACCGTGAATATTTCTCGCAGCGAAAGGCGAAAATTCCTCATAAACAATTCTGCCCAGTTACTAAGTTACCTGCCAAATACTTTGATCCAGTGACACAGACACCCTTTGCTAATTTACAAGCATTCAAATGTATCAGGGAAGCTTATGCTCAGCAGTTAGCAGAGGAATCTGACCAACGTAGAAAATGATATCAATAAAGTTTTTCTTTCATGTACATTTGCTTTATTTTGTTATTTGGCACAATGATAATGTGCATCTCTACATCAGGAATCTTTTTTATTAAAGAACTTACGACTTAGACCAAAACTTTTAGTTGATCATAAAGTTTGCAAAATTAAAGAGTTTAAAATTTCTATCATGATACTAGTAATATCTTGATACATTCCTTTTAAAAAGTTTAAAACCATCTTAAATTTAACAGAAAAAAGAAAGTTATAAGAAGAATTTTTGGTTTCATTCATAAGTTCTTTTATAAAATGGGCCAAAGACTGGAGTGTCTGTCTTTATCAAAATACAAGAGAAAAGAATTCTGGTATTATTGCAGTCAATATTAATAATTTTCAATTAAAAGTGATGATTTTGTTACTTTGCCAGCTGTTTAAGATGCGCATCAGCAGTGGCTACAATAGAATTTTCAAACAAGTGTAATTAGCTCTTCATTGCATTATTAGCAATTGTTGACAAAATGATTGATAATATAGTAATTTGGTGACCCTGAACTTGTATACTTGAACCTTGAATTATCTATCTGTTGCAGAGTAGTTTGCATTGATAAATCAAACACTTGACAGTAGGCATTATTACTGAATACCTCTCCTCTGACTGCTTCTATTTGAAAGATAATTAATTGATTGATTTAGAAATTTTTTCCAGGGGGTTGGGATGGGGGGTCCATTCCTGTCAAAATAAAAAAAATATCCGACCCAGAAGCCCCCCCACCAAAATACTACTTTCCGAAATGAGTAAAGATATGAATTTTCATAACAACTCAACACAGATCCACGGGTTTCTAAGAGCAATGAGGAGAGGATCAGCCATTTTGTAGGTGGCTCCAGGTCACTTACTAAGTTTTATCTAAAAATAAATGCAAATTTCTAGGGTAATACGGACCCCCCCCCCCCCGAGAAGTATTTATTGTAAATAGGCCTATTATACAGGATATTAAACAGTTTGAGTACCTGAACATTTACTGTACATATAACCAGGGACCTATATACTTTATACTTAGTATATACGTCCCTGATATAACGTTACAGCTGAAACATTAACAGAAGCACGACTAATTTGACGTACAAGTTGTTTAAAAAAATTAAACGGCGGAGCGCCCTCTGCTGGTGGCGGGAAAATCTAAAGAAGCACATGTTCTAGCGTACCGGTGTTTGTAGTTGTCAGTGTAAGTATAACTGAATTTTAGATGAATAATTAAAGTTAGTATTAAAATAACTTTTCTTAACAGTGTTAGTTTTGCGTTCGGACAGAAAATCAATCGCTAGTTGACATGGAAAATGGTGAACAGATTCTGTTTCTTGATCGAAGTTATATAGGCCTAGATCTATGTCAGATATGGCTTTTATTAAATCAAAATGTCTGCAGCATTCATACAATGCATGGTGTGAAATTGGATATGCATCACCATTTGATACATATTATTTGTGATCATAGCTGAAATATACATTTGCAAATAAAGCGATAAATAAATCCATCTTTATATTAAAGGTACTCGGACACAGATTTGAAGTTATTATTTTCTCTATAATATTACGACTTATATATTTTAATAGCATTTCACAAAAATTAAGTAAAAATCTTATTTCGTTTAAAAGATATTGAAATTTCAAATTTTTCGGCGGGTTTGATTGACATATCCTTGCACTCTCACAAATTTAATTTTATTCTTAATCCTTAGGAAAAGTGGCAATCTCGTTTTGTATAAATGAAAAATATTAATACTATAATCCAGAAAATTGATAGTTCGAAAGCAAAACAAACGCACAATATATTGTCAGTCCGTGCAGTTGTGGTAAGCAGACTGTGACGATTGAACGCACCCGGGGAATTCTAAATATAAACAATAACAGAACTCGAGCCCTGTTTACAAAAACTGTGTACATAACACGAGTGTGCTCGATTTGCTAAACTCTGTACGCATCTCTTAGTTCGGAATGACGATGCTTGTGAAGGTGTTTTGCTTTCTAACATTTCTACTCTGAATAATATATTTTTTTTTTTGGATAAAAGTTTTAATATTTCTCATTAAAACACATCAAAATTGCCAATTTTCCTAAGGATTAAGAATAAAGTAAAAATTTGTGAAAGTGCAAGGATGTGTCAATCAAACCCGCCAAAAAATTTAAAGTTTTAATAACTTTTAAATGAAATAAATTTTTTAATCAATTTTTGTGTGAAATGCTATTAAAATATATAATTCGTGATATTATACAGAAAAAATGAGAAAATATTAACTTCAAATCTGTGTCATAGTACCTTTAAACTGTGGAAAGGAGGCTATGTACAGCAATTTTGCTTATTTGATAGTGACAGATAATTGTAAGTCCCTTTTTGGTTTGTAGCTATGAAGAAACACAATAAAGCATGAGGCTGTATTAAGTCAGTTGTTTGCACTGAATTGATATTTTTAAAGACATCCCTTTCTCTTCCTCCCTCTCTCAAGGTTGCCTGAATTGTTGACCAAGATTTTCCCAGGAATCTCATTTTAATTGAACTATGTATCATATTTATTCCAACAAATGGAAATAATTCACACTTTAAAAAAAACAATGACAGGAAGTAAAAATTTCCAGATAAATTGTTTTCCATTCATAGAGAACCCTCGGGCAACATATTATCTTAATCACATCTTATCTTAATCCATTTTCAATTTCCTAGGTGTAAGACTGCCTCTTTATATTAATTAGTGGACAAACATCTCTTGTTCGAATTGACTGGAAAGACCTGTCACTCTAAGTGTTGTGTCATTAAACAGAAATAATCTCAAGCAAGGATTGGACAAAGAGATGAAAGAATTTATTTCAGTACTTCATTTCAGAGTGAATAGTAGAGGCAGAATCAATTACCATGATTAACTATGAAGAACTTCGAGCCAAAAATTTGGCAGACAACAAAGTCATTGTAAGTAAATGGTACCATATTTTTCCTCTTGAACATGTAAATGAAATTTTATTTCACATTAATCTTGAACAATTAATTTGTAGTTGGAGAAGTTGATGGCAGATGTAAAATGGCTTCCAGAGACAAAGAAAATTGTCCCAAGAGACAAGGTTATTAAGGTACATAGAATAATTTACCTGGAAAGTCCTGTCCATCTGTATGTGATTTGTTGTGATTAAGAGGTAGTCCACTGAAAATCAGGCAATGGGTGGCACATCGCATGTCATGGATTTTTATTATTTTTTGCATGTAGACTTATTAAAGCAAGTGTTTACACATGACAACATCAAAAAAAATTTTAGTGCTCCACTAGTCCTATTTTTGGTAAGTGTTCAATTTTAAGTGCAAAAAGGTCAACATGGGGGTAAAAAAAATACTACGTTTTTATTTTGTTTTATATGTACCAGATACGCAAAACCTGGATGTGTCTATCAATATTATTTATACCATAGACTCTTATCTTTAATTTTAGAAATGAATAAGACCCCAATTTATATTTCTTTAGAAAAAAATATGTGGTCCAAAATTGAGTTTAGCAAGTAACTTTTTGAATTCTTTACCCAATTTTCATTACGTTATAAAACCCAATACATTTCAATGACAGATTTTTTTTCTCATGTTATTATGAATACAAAGTACAAACTATTGAGTCACTCAATAAAATCAGTGGGCACCCTTATATTGAGAGAATTAAAAGGAGTCAAATTTACCTATGTTTTACAATTTTTCACAATTAAACCGATCCCGACCGGAATTATATTAAGAAGGAAATACTATAATTGTTATGTTAAATTTGGCTCTTTTGTTGTAATATGGCCAAAAAATTACTTGATTTATTTTTGTACATGTCTTATGGGTGGCAGTTGTCTTTAGTTTTATAACTTTACACATTTTGCATTATTTTCAATCGGGATCGGTTTTATTTCAATCGGGATCGGTTTTTACCGTAAAACTAGAAATATTCTGCATTTAATGTATCAGAAAAAAATATGCTTGTCTTTTATTTCTGTTCAGTTAGTCAACTGTTTTAAAATTATTTTATCCATGGATTCAAATGTTTATACATTTTATTTCAAATACTAATGCCTTTTACGTACATGAAGATTACAATCATGTATAACATCTGTTTGATTTCTTGATACTCGGTATTAAAAAAACAAGTTTTTGTACATGCATTATGCAACAACTGAGAGTAAACAGCTTATCTTTATTAAATATCTTATTTCCAACTTAATTTTTTTTAAATTCTCTTGTGAATTAAAGAGTTCAATTCTATCATTGGCGAAAATATACTTGCACGTACCTAAATGCAGAAAATATTTTAAATGTGCACAGTCTCGGCTTTATCCAAATTTTTTAAACCTGTCATCTATAAAAGCCGTTTCCCCTATATTTTCATCTTATAAAATTTAATTTTATATTAATAAGAAAATAAGTTATTTCATATATATAGTATCATTATTTAAGAGCCTAGAAATCGCAAGCAAAAAGCCGGGACGGGGTGGGGTGGGGGGAGGGGCAAGGCGGCATATTAAAAAAAAAACTTTCATCAATGGGAAAACATTTTAGAATTGGCCAACATGGTCACATTTTTTAACTTCATATTGAATGTGAGTATGTGATTTTTTCAATCACCAAATTTAACCAAAAAAAAAAAAAAAAAAAAAAAAAACAAACAAACAAACAAACAAACAAACAAAAACAATACAAAACAAAAAATACGCCCACGAAATTCTCCGTTTTAGCGGCAAATTGAAGTGGGGAGTTCAACAGTAATTTTCCTCAATAAATATTTTTTAAATCTTATTTTTCACTTTTTTAATAAAATATTTTTAATCGTACCGTGGATCGTTTACTTTGGTTTGACTGCATAGATAAATATAATCAAAAGTTTTTTTTTGTTTGTTTGTTTGTTGTTTTTTTTTTTGTGCGTGTGTGTGTGTGTGTGTGTGTGTGTACAAATATCATGAAATAAACATCTCAACTCCGTTGACTTGAATTAAATGTTGCGTAAATCTAAAATATTCATCTTTCCTTGATAATCAGAAGAAAATAAAATCTCTTCACATCCTAATTTTATAAGAAATATTCAATATAAACAATTAATTATTTGTACGCATAGCCTAGTAAATCAGTTTTAAAAATTTGTTCTCGGACATGTACAAAATTACTTTTCAAAAGGGACTTCTAGCTGAGACGTCGCCCGTGAAAAAAATACATTTTATATAAAAATATATGATTATTTAACAAGTAGGATGATGCACTCTGAAAAGTAATTGAACAGAAAAAGAGAAATTATTTATTTTTAATCGTTTTATTTGCGCTTTTATGCAAAGAATTTACAAACTTCTTTGGAAAACTTGTAACTATTTAATTGTGACGCAATATTAGTCAGGTATATGACGTCACTGATACATCAATGGAAACGTGGATTCAACCTGAATAATACTGCCAATCTTAATCTAAATATTACGTTTGGAGGCGAAAATGAATTCTATTTTGAAAATAAAGTAGTAATTTTTTGTTAAATAATTTTATTTTGTGTATATATTCTAAATATTTTACTAGGATTTCGATAGTAAGGTGTTTAGCAGATTTACCGATGCCACGGGAGATAACTCTTACATCGCAAAATTTCATAAAAACGTCGATATATTTTGACAGAAAACTACTATCAAAAGTGTTTTGCCCACCAATTTTATTTTTGAAACTGAAAGACGAAATATTTCTAGATTTAGTTCAGCATGAATTATAGTCCTGTTAAATAAGTATTGGAAATTACAGTTCGTTGTTTCTGATCTAAATTCAATGGTTTATATAGGGGAATTCAAGAACACGAAACAAAAGGATATTTTACTAAATAAGCAATTTTAAAACAAATCTTCGATTACATTATTCCATTTGGACTACATTGATATTGTTTTCAATAAAATATCAAATATTCGTCACATTCGATGTGCCGCCTATTAATACAATACTGCCTGGTTTTTCAGTGGACTACCTCTTAAATGCATAATTTCATAAATGTAACGAAGAAAATTTAAAACTTATAAAAAATTTTAAAGAGTGAAAGAGTAGTGTTTAAATTAATTTACCTTAGGATTAAATGGTTAAATGATTTCCTTATTTGCATTTTTTTGAGGATGTGCCTTATTGTCAATTTTTTTTTCAGGCACCACGAAAACCCAGAAAGTCAGAACCACTTGGTCCAATTAGACGCAATCCCTCCAGAAAAGCTCGTATCAGTGGAAAATCCACTCATTCAGATAAACGACGCCATAGTGATCCTGTCCTAGACTCTGATACTTCTCCAACTAATGTAAAACACTTGTTCTAAAATAGTAAATTTTGGAATAGTTTATTGGGTGATTTTAATTTCTGTAACGTCTTGCAGATGGGAATATTGCTTTTAAAAGATTTAACTATAGCGAAATGTTAGTCAAATGGCAGCTTTTTGAACCATAATTTATATAATGTTTGGTCAAAAAAAAAGTGAAATTTTTTTATATTTCTTTTGTTTTTGCTTTAGATAATCTATTAAATTAATCAAGACTGTTGGGACATGCTTTGTTATTGTTGATTTTACAGTAAATTGGTATATAAATATAATGCATATATCCTGGCCTTGTTTATAGTATTTACTGATTATGTATCACACTCTTGTGATTCTTTTGCAGAAGCTACAAGTTCGCTTTGGATTTTTTAACAAGTCCTCATTGACAAGTGTAAAACATGATGGTAGTGAGGATGAAGAAGAGAATGAGGACATTGAGGAGGAATGTGTAAGTTTGACAATTTCATGAAAGCATTGAACTCTTGATTCTGGAGGTCTTGTGTTGTTTAACACCAAGATGTGCCAAAAAATTAAATACTTTGTAATTTTTATATGCTTAAAAATGACTGAAATCAGTAACTGATGTCCAAAACATATACATGTAACAAACGTTTCTTTTGCTTCCTTTGATTCAGCTAAAATTGAGGTTGATTAGGGCAATGTCATATTTTAGAATAAGAGCTACTGTTTATAGGTTCATGTACAGTGGAGACTTGTTTATCCGGACGCTTTGGTTCCTGGTAAATTTGTCTGGATATACGAAATGTCTGGATGCCTGAATTACCAGTTAAACAAGACAAAATAACATTTAAAAAATTCTGTTCCAATGAAAAATTGTCCGGATACTGAAGCATCTGGATATCTGGTGTCCGGATATCTGAAGACCCTATGTATATGTAAATAAACAGTAAAACTCGTTTAGTACGAACACGGATATTGCGAATTCACGGATATAGCGAAGTCATTTTGTTTCCCCAGCTATATAAATTTGTAAATTTCTTATACGGATATAACGAATTACGGATATAGTGAAGTAATTTCAAAGGTCCCAGCGACTTCGTTATAACCAAGTTTTGCTGTATTAATTTTCAGGTTGAAAAACTGCCAAAGTCCAACCATACCAAGAGCTTTCAGATTGACACCAGGACTGCTGATGAAATAACAGAGGATGATCTGGCTCTCGTTGCTGTCTTTGTCAGTGAGAAACGTTACGACAGCTTTTATGTAAGTATGAACTTAAAGTCTATCTAATAGTGCATGGATCAGGAATTATCAAAAAATAAGTTTAAGCATTGATGAATACCAGCCCGCTTTTTTTTTAACAGAAGAGCATAGACCAGGATTAGAATATATTATTGCAAAATATATTCTTTTGTACCTTAGTCTGAAAAAGGAATAATCACTTGTATGTTTTTGGAAATACATGTCATATTTTTAAAGCATCATCCATTCTTTTATCAGTATAAAGTTTAAGAATAGCTGTTAGAAATAGCTGAAATTGTTGCTTTTAGTAGTAAGAACTGTAAGATTGACCCTATGTTTGCTGTTTTTAATTAATTATACAGTATAGGTTTGTGTTTTACAGGGAACTTCATGTCACCAGTGCAGACAGAAAACAGCAGACATGAAAACTATCTGTAGGTCAGGGACCTGTTTTGGTGTCAGAGGTCAAGTAAGTGAAGAAAAATTAATTGTCAGTCTGGTGGGTAGGCAGGCATATGGTTATTTCAAACACTGGTTAAAGATATTAAAGCAACTAGAAAATTTTTGTTTTAAATTTCAGTTTTGTGGTCCTTGCCTAAGAAATAGGTATGGAGAAGATGCAAAGGAAGCTCTGAAGAATGAGGTGTGTTCTTAAGAGTTATATGAATATATAAAACTATCTTTGTCGAAATTGTTTGGAATGGAATACTTGTAAGGAAATTACATTTAAATAAGATAATATCAACGTATGATTTATTTATTTTTTGGTCTTACAGAATTGGGCATGTCCTCCATGCAGAGGAATATGTAATTGTAGTTTCTGTCGTAAGAAGCAGGGAAAGTCCTGCACCGGCATCATGATTCATCTGGCAAGACAAAGTGGATTTGAGAGTGTCAAGGATTACCTTCAGAAGTAAGAGTTACAGTTTCAAATATTATTTAACGTTTTATTTGGGAAAATTCATGGCTTTGGACCTTTCCATGGCATGCTGTTAATCCTTTCTATACACTAGTAGTGAAAAAAAGTTTTCTGGACATTGAAAAATGTTATATTGAGTTTATATATTTGTATTCTTGGCATAGGATATGCACCTGTTGTATACCCACGTGTTGTATAACCCATCAAAATTTCAAAAATATATTGATAAACAAATTGAAACGGGGGAAAAACATGCAAATCAAGTGTGAATATATATGTAAAATGAAAATGTTTAAAATTGTTTGCATTGATAATAAATTGTCGATTATAACACACTGAGTATTTTAAGTTATTTAAAAAAGGCAGATCACTTTAACTTCCTGAAAATATCACAATATCAGAACTGTACTGGTAGAGGGACTTTAAGAATATATTTTCCCCTGTATATTATTAGGGCCCCCATATGAAGTTGTGCCCTGATATAATCACTCTGTCTGGATTATTATTTTGAATTTTCCACAAATTTTCTTTTTTTTTGTGGTAACTTTTTTTATGGTTGCCCAATCAAGTTCAAATTTGGAATGGTAGTTGCAGTAGGCAAAAATACATATTTTGATGCTAAGTTTATTCTCTATGTCTTCTGGTTTGGAGCTGGGGTTTTTGTTAATTTTTTTGCATTTTAATGGTTTTATTTTTTATTTTGGTTGCCCAATTGTTCAAATTTGGTATGGTAGTTCAGATAGGCAGAAATACATATTTTGGAGCTAAGTTTGTTTCTTTATGTCACCTGGTTAAGAGCTGGGGTGGTGGGGTAAATTCCTTAACTTTATATAAGAATGCATTGGCAAAGAGAGATAACTGCTGAAGATGTTCCCATTGTAAACTGAATGCTGCTATGAGTCCCTTAAAGATAAATTAGCTTTCCTCCTGAAGAAAATCCAGAGCATTATCTTTATCTGTCACATTGTGATGAATTACCACCTCTGTCTGCAAATGAAGTTTGTTTTGAAGTTAAGTCAATTTGGAATGCTATGAACACTCTGAAATGTGGATTTAAATATAAATTTTCATAATTTATTTTTGCTTAATAGTTATGATTTCATTGAATTCTAAAAACAAGATATATAGATTAAAGAAGATTTTTTGATTTACTTTTTTTCACTTTATGTTAATTCAACAATATTATTAATTTTTAAGGTAGAAATAAAAAAATCATTAAACTGAAAAAATTGTAACTTTAAAAGAAAATGATGAGAGAGGAATTAATCCCTTGGGATTAAGTATTAGCCTGCTGCAGAAAATTGAGTAGGCTTTTTTTATCTGTCACTTTAAGATTAATGAAAACCTTTGTCTGCAACTGCTGTTTGTTCAAAGTTAAGGTCAAGCCTTCATGATATTTGCATTCATTGAAGGCTGGATTTTATATAACACAAGCTTCATAATTGTTTAAATATACATTCAATGTTAAGTCGTTCTTTACTGCCTAATGTAAGTACAAGAATATTATTTTCAGATTTTTGAACACAGGAATTATCTTGAAATTTTAAGAATACAGTTGCTGTTGCTTATTCTTCGTACATTTTTTAATCATTCCGTAGGCTGCACCCTTTTAATTTTACCCCATGGCGGGGCCCTTGCTGACTGGTCAGTTTTCTAGTTGTGAATGTATTCAGTGTGTACCATATTTGGCGATGAATGATTTTCAAACAAGTTAGCATTGATTTGATGTTCTTATTCATGTATCAATGTTAAAGGCATTTAGTGATGTACTTGAATTAGCTGAAATATATTTCCACCAAAAGTGCTGAAAAGAATACACCACCAAATGTAATGTTTATAGTATGTTTTGTAATGCCTGTTTAATTTTCTCTTTCAGTTTTTCTAAGAAGATATGAAGAACAAAATGTTGTGTTACAAATTGACAAGTTTATCAATACTTTATTGGCAGCACCAGAAGTTAAGTTTTATAAATGTTTTATTGCAGTTCTTGTATTGTTGCATGTTGTGTTTGTTTGATCATTGGCAGTTATACAGAAACTTTTTTTTACCTAGATGAGATGTATATATGCATGTAAAGGATTTTAAAAGAATATCTTTAGTGCTAAGTTGTACTACTTGTATTACCCTGTGCAAATGAATCATGATCCTCTTATATTGTTTTAGTCATTACTTTAAATTTTTATATCCTAAAATGAATAATGTATTAAAATGATTCAGATTAATGTGATTAAATAATTTTAGAACTTGAATATTCTGTTTGAGATCGTTTTTCTTTTTTTTAAAATCGATTCGAGTCTAGTGGAGTCTCTGATGATTTTTTTAAGGATTTTGATTTTGTTCCTATAATGCTTTACAGCCTTTTTAGAAATTAAAGTGTAGGTGTAGTTTCATCGGTATATATAGGCCGAAAAATTCCTTAAAGGTTGAACTTAAAGCTGAACATGATTTTCAGGAGGATTTTGTCTGCCATATTGTTTTATTCACTCCCAATGTCTGAGGGCCTATACATAAAGCTGCCCACTTAGTTAAAATATATTTCAATTTCTATTTAATTTTTTTTCTGTGGTAACTTTTTGAAAGTTAGCGGAGTTGATTTGTTGATGATCCTTCCGGAATGTAAATTAAGCAGGTCGATAGGTCAGGAGCTAAGGAGGCCTAATATGCATGCAATTCTTGTGCGAAGCCCGTTACATGTATGCAAATTATCCCACGTTTCCCATTATCGTTTAATTATTTTACTGCAGGTAAATTTAAGAGTGATTTTGTGATGTTTCTTAGCCCTTATCATTAAAAGGGAGCTTGTATACTTTTCAAAGCAGACAGGCCTTTCAAATGACTAAGATGTCAATATTGAGCAAAGGGATATACTTGAGTATATATATATGTCATACTTTTATCGATGCGATATTTTCCCGAATGTTTGTTTAGAGTTAGTTCCCTTTTCTCATGCTAATTTAATGTCCATAGGGACATGGTGTCAGGTGTGTTTTGTTTTTTTTCTAGCTATGCCTGAATGCATTCATTAAAATAAAAATCAAAAATTTAGCTGAAATAGCACTTTTTTTAAAAAAATAAGGGAGGGCATATTGCTGTGCTGCTGTTGTTGGTCGATCTGTCGGTCCACCAACAGTTTCCAACATTTTCTTGAAAATGCTGAAATGAAATTTGGTTTGTATATATATTTATCATATGAATATCTTGGTCAAGGGGCTCATTTTACAAAAGAACTTATAACTAAACAAAATTGAAATTTGCTGATTTTTTGCTAATTTACATTGATTTGAAAAGGAATTTATTCGTTTTAAAAAGATTTTAATATATATTTTTGCTAGGAATTTCAGACAGAATAATTAATTTTGCAAAATATTACAGTCAGCTTAAGTTTATGGTTTCAGTCAATTATCTATAAGTCCTTTTGTAAAACGGGCCCCAGGTTCAATTTTGGGTACGATCAAGCCATTTTGGACAGAGTTAAGCCCCCTGGACTGGGAAAATTTCCAATTATTTGCAGTTTCCGTTCATTTTCTTTCCAGAGCTTGAACTAACTGAAATGAAATTTGGTATCATACAGAGTATACTACGACGGCGTATTCGTGCCATTTTAACAATGTAGAATTTTTTTTTCAAATCGTTTGTACGATTTATTAAATCGTTTGTACGATTTAATAAATCGTTTGTACGATTTAATAAATCGTTTGTACAATTCGTTTGTTAAATCGTTTGTACAATTTATTAAATCCTTTATACGATTTTTTAATAGTTTGTACGATTTTTATAAATCGTTTGAACAATTTAGGAAACTGTTTTTACGATTTAAGAAAACGTTTGTACGATTTAATAAATCGTACAAATGATTTAATAAATTGTACAAACGTTTGTACGATTTAATAAATTGTACAAACGATTTACTAAATTGTACAAACAATTTATCAAATTGTACAAACGATTTATTAAATTGTACAAACGATTTATTAAATTGTAAACCATTTATTAAATTGTACAAACGATTTATTAAATTGTACAAACGATTTATTAAATCGTACAAACGTTTTCTTAAATCGTTCAAACGATTTAAAAAAAATTTTCTACATTGTTAAAATGGCACGAATACGCCGTCGTAGTATACAGATTTATCACAAGTTTCTGTTTTGGATATCTTAATTTTTGGACAAAGATGTGTTTTCTTCTGGAAATAAAAAGTAACCAAGAAAATGTTATTGCAAGACATTTATTGAAAAGAGTAAAACTTTCAAATCCAAAAATCACACCAAGTTTTCACATTCAGTCAACCAGCACACACTATCTTACAAATAAATGCAGTTCACAAGTAGCCTCATTGGCATGCATACAAATGTATATATTTATACACATTTTCATGGTGTAATGTGGGTTCAACAAAAATCGTATTGCATGAAAAAATATTGCATAAATTATTACAGTTGCCTGATTACATTGTTAGTGAAAGGGGAAAAAAATAACATTTCTTCATGTCTGAAAAATGTACATTCCGAAAGACGAAATTAAAACAAATCGACCTTAATGTAATATTATTACATACATATGTAACATTTATTACACTGATACATTTATCAACAATTACACATTACAATTTCCCACTGAGATCCCCGATTGTAAAAAGCCGTAATGCCATACATTGTCACACATCATGTATACCTACTATTTTGCTTTTGTGGCTTCAAATTATAGCAACACAAGAACAAATCTATATCCGAAATCTGAGGTTCATTCATACCGGTTCGAAACAAAAACCTCGAACTGCTTTATTTAAAAGCAATTTAAAAACCATTGCTTAAGACACCCAGAACATATACCAAATGTTCATTTAACCGCGAAATTAAAAAAAAATCAACAATATACAAAAAAATCATCACAGGTGTTCATAGAATGAAAAAGAATGGCATTATATACATGTGCACATTATTTTCAATGTTATTCTTTAACATGAGATCAACATATTGGTCCACAATTTTATTATCACATGTTATCAGTTATCAAGTATCTAGTCAATTTTGGCGTCCAACGCCCAAAAATGTTTTCAATTAAATGCAAATGTTTTCGGTCCGAATATATCATCCATCTATATCGGGACAAAAAAATGAGGCGAGACTAGTTTATACACGAATTCAATGTTTGGCAGGAATGTTTTTTTCTCTCAACATTTTTATTACAAAATATATATGGGACCAATTCAATTATTCACGGCCCATACAAGATTCCCCCCGTATTATCATAGCACCTTGCAAGTTTTCGGGGGAGGACGGGCGACATGCAGTTGAGAGACATAAGTCCTTTGATATATATTGCAGCAATAATCTCTCCATTACAGCTATAAATACTTCTCTAAGGTTAGACCTATTATCACTAAACGCTAATTTATTATTAGCTAATAATTATTATGCACCAATTTATTATGGAAATCGGTAAGCTATCCGAGATCTGAAGTATATTCGCATAAATACTATAGTATGCACAATTCAGGCACTTAGAGAGTGTTCTCTTGTCAAAGATATATTCCTATAAACCGCATGGCTACAGTAACTGATATCTTTCTTGTAAATCCGCTTAAGGAGGTTTGATAATAACATATTTTCTTTGAAAGACAAATGGGACGTGATATTTTGTTATCAGAAAGTCATCTGATATTGGACACAAATTCAAATATCAGCTCCCTCGATATCAACTAAGTTTTTGAGCATCTTTTTCGCAAAGTTCATACGCTGAACAATATCCCTGCGGCAGCCATCTTGGATTATTTGCATCATGCAATACGTGTTTGCTGTTCTTTCTTCATCGATGTAGGTTACATAGTAGTCATTCTTCATGTAACTCATTATGATCTTGGTATGGTCATCAAAGAAGTTCACCTATAAAAAGGTACATATATATGTTTTAAAAAGTACTTCCATTGGATTTTGGGATAATGTAATTTCCAAGAGTTGACAAGTACGTCACGTGACGGGAAAACAATACCTGAAGAGTTCCATCACTGAGGTAAAGAACGATTGCTTTTGATGTTCTGAACCACTTCTTCAAGTAGACATTTCCATACCAAGAATCATCGGAGTCTTTGGACAATTCCACTTGACCTCCCTACAAGGAACCATAAACACATAAATAAGGACAAGCTGACGAAACCACTATCACCAGAAGCCCAAAAAAATATTTTAACTCCAAAAACACATATACTAAAAAATTGCCCAGAGAATTTTTTTTCCTTACTATGAATGGGGGGGATACTGTGGTGATACTGACCTGGATGAGATGTTCGTCCATATAGCGGGCGAAGTAAAGCAGGAGAGTAGTTTTCTTCTCTAACTCCTCAGGCACACACTCAACCGTGTATGATGACGACTTATTGGTGACGTCAAAATACTGCACAGCCCTAAAAATAACACAAATAATATGTGATGAAAAATAAATGAAATCTTCAAATTTTTACTTCCTTTTGTAAAACATAATGTGGTGTTATTTCGAAGTAATTTCACTAAATTCTTCTATTTCGAATACAATAGCTCAAACTTTAACACGTGCGCTTGGGTATACATGTCATACATACTTAAGTGTCGGATAACAATTTCATCTTTTTTATTTGCAGAAAAATTTCCTTAATCGAGTTATTATTTCATTATTTTTATTATCTATAAATTATTTCATTCTTAAATGTTTCCTTTTTTCTCTCTTTATATTATTGGATTACCGGAAGAATTCAAGTTTAAATTTCCTCCCAAAATCTAAATGATAAATATTTGGAATAACATTCCAACAATATCATTTGAATAGTGGATTAGATAGAATTTAAGAATTTACATTGGTCATCAAACCACAGGAAATCTATTATTAGAACAACAAAGGGTATCTATCGTATAACCGTATTATGAAAGAGTTAATAAACAAACATTGACACCAGGAAATAGACATTCTAAACGCAGTAGCCATAGTGGCCTGATACACAAATAGTGGACATAAGTTAATTACCTTCCATCCGGTGACATCACGATTCTTGAAGTGTCGTTAAATAGAACGCCAATGACGTCATTGGAGAGTTGGAAACCGAAGCCGTATTTGTTGGAATAATCCACCCATTTTGTCACCCAGACAATGTTTGAGTCAGATATGGATAGTGGGTTTTCTCTGACATCTAAAATTTTAAATTCAAATATTTTAGACCTTCATTGAAAGATTTCATGGAATTAAAAAGATGAAAAAGCATGAAGGTACTATACATGAA